GGAGGAAAAAAAAAAAAAAAAAAGAAAATCACTGGTGACACAATTATTGTTCAGCCTAGCAATTTCTTCAAAATAAAGTTTTTTTCTTTTTTTTGTTTACATTTCGTATTTTACTTAGAAGACGAATAGGCAAAAGGATTATAGAAACTTATTTAAGCCTAGAAGAGCAATAATTAGGAAGTTTAACACAACTGGAACTGAGACACAGAAGGTTGTACAAGTTTAGTGTCTAAACTTATTTTGAGAAGGTTGTAAAAATTTTCAGTTGACATTTAAAATTTCTAAATAAAAGCACAGAGCAGGAAAAGTCAAATCTAGTTATCAACCAATTTTTTTGTTATTTTTATCATCTTATGCCTACTATTAGCTCCTTGGATATCCATCTTTTTACTTAAATATTCTGTATATCTTTTTGCTGAGATAATTTCACTGTCTTATTTTTTTACCTTAGGGATTAAATCTGAGTATTGAAAACGTGGAGTTGACTAACAACCAGGCCTCACTCTGTTGGGCCGAGTGGCTGTAACAGGGACAAACGAACATCTTACTTCGTACTTCGTACTGTGTGTGTGTGTCACAGGACGCAGACACACACACACACACACACACACGAACGTTGCAGGTTTAACTGTCCATTTTCCCAGAGATCACTTTAACGTAACAGCTGGATCCCACTCGCTGTGGGTCTACAAGTGTCCTGACACGAACTCACACTTCACCATCCTCTTTTGTCCCATTTCATTGGACTCGGCACACACTGAAGAAAGGGTGGCAGGTCTCAATCGCGCTCTGCTCCACTTCTCTTCCTCATCTTGGCACACGTCTTGCTGTTAACGCAGATCCACTGAAACGTCCCGTCATCGCTCACTCACTCGCGCCTAGCGGCCGGGAAGCTTTTTCGCAGGTATTCCCGACACGCCCTGTCCCTGAATCACACTCGGCGGAGGGGAGATTACAGCCTTTTGTCGCCTTGTCGGTTGACTCTGGCTGACGTGATATAAATTTGTGAAACAGGTGACCGGAGGAGAGAAGAGGAAGTATTGGGAGAGGGAAAACAATTTAGCTGCATTAGCAGAAGTGGGATAGGCCCTGTGAGGATGAAGAACATCAGGACAGCACTTCTATTTTGACAGAGAAACCGTACAGGTGACCACTGGGTGGGCATATTATTACAGTCCCATTAAAAGATGAGGAGCAGGACTTCCTGTGAAGAACAGTCATCAGTTAGAGCTAGCTGTCAGACACGACCGACTTACTCTGGAAGTCTTCCTATTGCCTTTTACAGGCCACAGCCTGCATTTTTCTCTCTCTCTCTCTTGAACAAACTCATCATTGCACTTGTCCATGCATTGAAGTGGGACAATTTGTTTCCATCTTTTGTTAAGATTAGTAGATAAAACAAGGCATCTGTCTCTTTAAGGAACTCCTGCTCTTTCTGAAGCTCCACATTTAGGAATTCATCACAGCACGGCTCCTCTATTAACAACTGAGACGTAGCTCCTTTAATGAGCTCAGCTGATGTGCAGTTCCACCAGATGTTTGCTAATTGCTGCTGACTAGTCTGAAGGAGCTGAGTGAGAAAGACACAGTTGGAAAGCTGCTCTGTGAGACGGTTTTCTTCATTTAATAATAACAATAAAAATAATTAATTATCTTTTATAATTAAAAGGTAACGGTGGTCCTTGGGCCTCTTGGTGTTTAAGGTAAAGCTACTGTATGAAACCGTGGGAGAAGGTTGAAAACTGTGTCTTGTTTCATTGCTGTTCCTGGAATGGAAATCTTAATTCATGCTTTGATTTCATCTCATCTGAATTATTGGAATGCATTTACAAATCTAAACAAATCTACTCTTGGCCAGTTGCTGATTTATTGCATTCTACAGGACTCGAGTGGTGGTGCCAATGTGTGACTTTGTAAAAACATAAAAATAAAATAAAATAAAATAAACATGTATTTGCTTCTAAAGTATTAATGAACTCAAATTATAATCAAATTATGCATTTTGTGGATTTAACAAGGAGTTAAATCCATGTATTTATATTATGTAATTTAACGGCCAGTAAACCCCCCAACACCCAAATTGCCTCACAATCCCAAAAATGCCCAGTAGAAGGGAAACAGGGCTGAAGATGATGCTTCGTTACCACGAAACAATCTGAGGCCAGCAGGGTCACACGGCAGATAAAGGCCTCTGGGAGCCATGTGCAACACATTAACCTCCAGTCCTGTGCCCATCTGTCTTTATCTGGCCCAGATAAGCTCACTTCATAGACTTCCAGTGTCATTAAATCATAACTGCGCTGTTTTGTGTCAAATTCAGTTCCCTCCTGGATTTCACTAAAACCATCCATCTGCCTCGCCCAGCCAGCTCCACTGCACTCTGTTTGGGCTTTATTGCCGGGGTAATTTGTGGGAAGTGAGATGCTGTGGCACTTGCAGTCTCCCCGGTCTTTATTGCAGCCTCCCACCGTGAACTACTGTTCCCCTTACTGCAGATGTGTTTTTTGTTTGGCTTAGGGGCCTCCAAGGTTTTGATATTTTTATTACCTCTCGCAGGTCGTCCGTCAGAAGCCGTGGCCCGGACCTGCCACCCGGCAGGACCTCCACCCCGGCCACACAGAAAATACGTCTGTGGGAAGCGCTGAGGATAGCTGTCTGGACGTCACACTGAGCTGCACTTCGGAGTAATTTAAAAGCCCCAACTGAATCCTTCCCCTCTTCCCTTGTGCTTTTCCCCCCCCTGTCATCCTCATCCTGGATTACATGCTGAATCAATATTTTGTTGCTTTAGCAAAATAAACCCCAATAACTGCTCGCCTCCTGTTTATGGCATACCAACTGAAATCCTGCGCCGTGTTTGTCTAGACACACATTCGGGGTGAGAAAATGGGAGCTCTGCAAATATTTCTAATTCGAGCGTTCATTTGTAAAAAGCCCTGGAAAGAATAATACCCCTTCGCTGGAGCAGGAGCCCACTATATCAGCCGTAGGTTCCCCTTGGCGTTGATTCATGAGGTTTGACTGAAAAATAGGAGCATTCCTATTTGCTCATGAAATCAAGAGAAAATACAGTTTCCAAATGAGGCAGAAAGTCTCTGAAGCAGGAGCTGTTATGTACAATGAATTATGGCACAAAAGCTGATGTGATCTCTTTGAGTGAGTGTGGCAGGGGCGGGGGAGTGCGAATTTGGGACTCTCACAAAAACACACGTCAGTGTGAGATGCTGCGACGTCTGCAGCATCCAAGTGTACGTACGAACAATTTCCTCCTATATTACTCTTAAAATATCAGTTAAAATTTCCGATTTTATTCGATGCACAAAGAGATTCCTCACAACAACAATTGCTATTTTTGAACATATTAACAAGGCCTATTGTGAGACTCTGTCTCAGAGTGTCTGTGGGTGGTTTGAGTCTAGAGTGACAGCCTCAGTCTGGCCCTTGGCCCCTAGTCCTGCCAACACTGTGTAACCAGCAGCTGATTTATGGCCCCTGGAGCCCCGCTGAGCCTCTTCCTCTTTGGGCCCTAATGTTTTCCAAGCAAGTAGGGCGAAAGCCAACACTCTCCTCTCCTCTGGCGCCATTTATTCATTTATTCCACTCCATGGGATTTAGATGACCACTGGGCACAACAATCAGTTAGCAGGTAGTTAAGTCTGAGCGCTCATTGATTATTCATTTTAGGAGCAGTGATGTCATGTCGTGTGTGAGCGAACAAGTTGTGGTTAAACAGGATTTAACTCATCTTTAGTGGTTGGCACCACTAACTAAAAGTTAGTTACATTAAAGCTCTAAAAACAAATATTAGTTCTGCTAACGCTAAACCGCTACACCAACCTGGTATTTAGCAGTAGCTAATGCTAAAGAGCTAACTTTAATTAAAATATCTGCCCTTGAAAGACTATAATCATCAGTCTCCAACTTCATTTTGAGATTATAATTTACATGTTCTACAATGTCCTTGGATATTTTGTTTGTTTATATTGTTTTCTTTACTGAGTTTTATTTTGTTCTTGTACATTTCTTGTTTGAAATAAAGTTATGAGGAGAAAAAAATAGAGAAAGAAAGGGAGACAGAATGTGAGGAGAGGAAAAAAGTAAAAAGTCTTCACTCTTTTCAAAATAAGAGCATGAATATAAATGTCCACTTGAAAAGTTCTTAACTGTCCAAACAGATGTTAATCTTTATTCAACTGAAAGTTTACAAACCAGCAAAGTAATTTAGTGCTTTATAATTCATCCAGAAAAGTTCAATTAGGGGAAACTAAGCACAGAAACGGTTCCAAGGAAGCAAAAGTGCTAAACGAAAAATAAGTTCCACTATTAGCGCACTAGCGAAAGTATGCTCACCCATGCTAATATATTAAAACAAGGACAAACTCTCTATGGACTTCAGTTTGTTTGTTTTGTTTTACTTCCTAGCATGGTTAGTATTACTGCAGCAAACTTAATATTCTGACCTTCCTCCAAACATTTCCACTTCAAAAATGTCACCTGACTCGGAGTTTGAAGGCTCAGTTGGATAAAACAATCCCACTGTGATCTGTTGGAAGTGTTGCTCTATTGCAGCAAAATACAGTTTCAATTTCCTTACATCTGCTTACGTCCTTGGATTAATTTTTTAAGGAACTCACTAAAACTGAAAGTAGCTAACACAAAGGTCTTCTTCCCACAGTAACAACTTCCACACTGAGGAGAGCTTTTGTTGGTACAACAAAATTGTTCCTGCTTGTCAGTCATTGTTTACGGTTGGAGGTGAGAAGTGGAAAATGTCCCGCTACTTGATGGTTTCTTTGTGCTTCTCTAATTCATAATATTAAAAAATAATTTAGCTAGCTGTAAGTAATGCATAAAGTTGATACTGAGACGCTGATGCTATACTGTGAATAAACAAGGATATCTATGATTAAAGACGAGAAGCTGAAGGCTCAGAAACTGATGAAGGGAATAAAAATAAATGTATAGATGGTAACTGCTAACTGTAAACGGTCAAAAATGATGAATAAAGGGATTGGATAAGTCAGAAAGTAGCAACACATCTTCAGGATCTCCAGAGCTGCAGCCTAAACAACAAACACGACCAGATCAGCCGGATAAGCCCCGAGCCTCCTAACCTGTATGTGGTTCTGGCCGTCCAGCATCCATGAAGAGAGCTGCTTCTCGCAGGAGCCCGATACGCCCCTCAGACTGCCGGGGTTAAAGGTCAGGCACATGATGGGCTCGGGGTGGGCTTTGACACGGCTCAGCTCGGACCTCTGGGTTACGTCCCACAGCAACAGGGAACCGTCCTCGTATCCAGCGAACAGGAGCGGTCCGAGACCCGAGTCAGGCTGCAAGAGAGGGGAGGAAGACGGGAGAGAGGGAGGAGGGACAGCAGGAACGGAGGGAGAGCGACGCAAGTTAAGACGTGAGATGAGAACGGGGGTTTAGAAAGCCATAAAAAAAGAAAAAAAAGAAAAAAAAAGAACTAGTGTAGTGCTGGGAGCTGAGAGGAGCAGAGGTTATCAGTCTGGAAGCTCCGGCTGACACTCAGAGACGTTGTGGCCTCCATTCGTCAGCCAGCTGCTCTCTGCAGCACAACAGTATCATTTTATCCATCATTTGACACTTTTTGTCGTCTATCAATGCACAAAATGCAATTAGTATTTTAATCTGCCCTAGTCGGACTAAGATTTTGACATGGTAGACCTTCAAATTTGGATGTTTTTTTTGTGTGTGTGGGGGGGGGATTTTATGTCTTAAGGTTGTAAAATAATGTTTCTTTTTTTAAATTGAATCCCAAAAAACTTACAACTATGACTACAGCAAAAGATTGATCTCATGCCACACATTTCAGATTTTAATTACAAAGAAATGGCCAATTTTGTGCTTGTCTGTGGCATAATGTCAAAAATATTTAAAAGACATGGGCGCCTTTTAATACTCCCTGTAGGAGTGAGCGATATGGACTTAAAGTTGTATCATAACATTTTGCGACTTCATGGCTTCATTAGAGTAATCATAGTCTCACAAAAGCTGCTCTTGAAAAACATCCCTACTTGTAACACCAGTCAGAAGTATATTTTTTATCACTGAAATGCACTATAAGAACATTTAATGATATTTTCAAATCTATTCACACACCTTTGTGGGGAGGAAAATAGGAAAAACAACAATCTTGATCATGTGGACAGCTTCAGCTTTTTTTAAAAAACATAGTTATTTGGAATTCATCGTGACAATGTTAAATCAAAATCACGATAAGGAATTTATCATGATAAATAATAAACGATACGATAAATGCCCACTCCTTATTCCCTGGACAGTATATGACCTACAGGAGAACAAGAATGAAGCACAACATGTATTTCTATTAAAAGGGTAAATCTTGTGCAGTTATAAGCACATGGTAGAGTTGAGATGTTATCTAATATAAGTAAATAATAAAGAGTAATTCAACTGACACTGGGAGGAAAAGACTGAAACAGAAAGAGTGAAAAGAGGTTTAGGATTCATTGTAACACCGTCGTCTTTTTCTTGAGGTCCCAGTTTCTTATGAATAAACAGAAAATAAAATAAAAACACAATTTCTTATGTTAAGTTTGAACACACCACAGCAAACACACACCTGGTCGGGCAAAGCCTTGAACTTTGTCGAGCCTTATGAAAGGTCAGCGCTAGATCAGGACTTCAGATGATCGAGGAATAAACTCAGATACTCGGCGCTGCACTGGCTCTACCTTTTGCTTTTAAAATAACACCAGGCCTTAAGAAGAAGATGAAGAAAAAAAAAAACGCAGTACCACGCAGAAGCCAGGAGGGAAAAAAATTTTTTCCATATGTGCACGGAGACCACGTCAGCCATTTTTCATCCATGTTCAAGTCCTCTCCTCTGTTATCGCTCCATATTTCTCCTCTTCCAGCTTGAAACAAATTATAGACAGAGTCGTGTACTCCTTCCAAACACATCAGCGGAGGACGAACACGGAGGGATTATGAAAACAAATAAAAACAAGTGAAAATCAGTGGCCCCCCGTCCCCTGCTTGCCGGCAGGGACCGGGCCAAGCGATCCAGATTGGGGGCCCAGCGTTTCACTTAAGCGAAGGACCTCCTTGATTGATGATGTCATGGGTCGGAGGTCGGGGAACCCTGGGTAGACACCTAATTCATTATATCCTCCACAGGCCTTTCTACAAGAGGGCTCTCTCTGCTGGAGTGGGGCTGGGGCACTGGGTGGAGATTCATCACAGGAGAACAGCTGCAAAGAAGAGAAGACGGACCAGAGGACGGCAGCGTGCCGGGGAAACAGAAGTGGTGCAGATTTTACCCAGTGTTTCACTGGTTAAAATGAAATTGGATTACAACTCTTACAACAAGATTAAGAAACTGCTGGTTTCTTTTACATTAAAAAGAAATGTCTGAACTGTCAACTCAGTGGGAATGTTTGAAGTATTATAATCGTTAGTTGCTCTGACAGGTTAATCGGATAAGAAAAATTAGCACATTCTACAGATTTTTCATCTGACCACTTAAGTCTTTTTAATTGTATATTACCAAATGCAAATGAACAAATACAACAGTTCATTTCATTTCACTTCATAAACTGCAATGACAGCGTAACGTCATTGAATTTGAGCAGGGCGAAGCTAAAGCTGTGCCACGTTTTTATCTTAAGTGCAAAGTGTCTACGTATTTTGTAAAGTTTTGGCTTAATTAATGCTTTGAGTGTTGTTTTGACATATCCTGTCACTCAAAGTGATGCTAAGACATAAAACTAATCTTCTTGTTCAGCTTTTAATCAGACACCTCAATGTTCTGGGATAAAAAAAACAGGCCAGTGTACGGGACTGATCACCACTTTATCCATGTTTCCCTCTTGGCGTGACGTGTCTTTGGTGATGGCCAGTGTCGGTTGTGCCAAACATGTCTTTCAGAATTGAGGCGCAAAAGTTTAAGTCTGGTTTCTTCAGATCATAACATTACTTTTCCTAACCCTAACCATCACATACCTAACCCTAACCCTATCCAACACTCAATTCATACCTTAGCCCTAACTCTGACCCCTGACCCAAAAATAGGGTTTCCCCTTGTGGGTACCAGGCTCTGGTCCCCACAAGGAGCAATTGGTCCCCACAACGTAGTATATGTCAGGAAAATCATCCCCACAAGGTATTACGCACAAACGCACGCACACACGCACACACAGCTAGAGAAAGATGCTGTTCTCTCCTCTGACAGTATTTGGTTCTGGTTCTATTTGAGTCATTATAGCAGGGAAGGAATCCCTGATAAACGAACTTCTTTTAATTATTTTTGTCCCTCTCATTTAACCCTGTTTAATGGCTCTGAGAAAACAATCCTTCAGTTAACTGAATAAACAAACAGTATATTTTGTGCCACAGAGCTCTCCATAAAACTTTAACGGAGCTTAGCCTTTACTGTCACCCTGGCATGTTTTTGCACACTGAATAAATGTGTGAATTTGTCTATCTGCTTATGAAGTACAGATTATAGAGCAACATCCACCTTAAAAGGAGAAAACATCTGAAATGTCTTTATGTAAAGGTGAAATTTGACCACACAACAGCTTATAAACGTATCGGTTTCTCACTAAATAATTTCTGTTTCATTTACTTACTGTAGCCAACTACTGTTTTCTTTGTTTATGCACTAATATTCTTTCTGTGCAGTGGAGTTATTTTATTGTTCATAATTTGAAAGAAAGAAAAAAAACATTTCCAAAAAATTATATGAGGTAGTCAATAGTAACAATTAACATTATAATAGGTATTTCATACTTCTCCAGCTCTATTGGGACTTTTGATAGGCTATTTATTTACACCTCACAGGATTTAAAAAGTAGAAATTAATAAAACCAAAAGAAAAAAAAAGTAATGATAAACCTTGATGTAAATTGAATAAAACATGATATGAGGTAAGTAAAGAGATCTCAGTCATGATCACATTTTAAAGATTTGATCACCTAGGAAAGGGATAGCTGGATGAAAGATAAGTTGTAAGGAGTTTTGTTCTGATAAACATTAACATTTTTTTAAAATTTAAAGCGATTAAAAAGGTTGGCTGCAGAAGGTGACACAAGCAAATGCTGGATGGAATAAAAATATGCTAATATGAAGGTAATTATGTTTTTTATTTCTTAAATCTAAGGAGAACCAGAAATGTATTTTTTAGGTCCAAGTGAAAACGTAGTTCACTTTAACCCATGAACAAGCCTGAGTTGTTGATGTCGCGGCGCAGGCCTCGGGCGGGAGCTGCTTCCACATAAGGAACCAATCGTTTCCTGTGGTCGTCGTTCAGCTCCCGCCACCATGTGATGGCCACGAGGCAGCGAGGTGATGAGCTCAGAGTGATGGATATCTGTAAAAGGAACATTTCCTTTTTCCCAGCCGGCCTGCGCTCACATCAGAAGCCTCGCACGTCGTACATCACCACCGTCCCCGCGGCCAGGGCCCGGCGTCCTCGCGCCAGTCAAAGCCACATGTGGAGCCACTTTTGATTGTTCGCTCCATCAAAGCCGATTCTCCTGAGTCGCAGCCGATCAGATGGGGAGGGATAAAACAGCATACACCTCAATTTTTAAGATTGAGTCCATTCCCTGGAGTTCTTTCGCATTTTGTGGACTTTAATGAGTCTTACTGGGTTTTTAGGTAACAAAGCATATTAATAGCGGTGAGAGTAATTGATGTACATGGATGCTGCATGTACATGGATGCTGCACCACATATGGTTTACATACCGATCACTGATCTTCAGAAATGCTGACCTGCTGATAACGATTTTTTTGTCTGAAAAAACAAAAAAATTGCTAAGGTGAGACTACTGTTAACCACTGATGTGCAGATGTGGTGGAAGGGTCTGTCTGTCTGTCTGTCTGTCTGTCTGTCCTCTCCCACAGCAGAGCAACGGGCTTTTTCAAAGGCCTTAAGCTGGATATTGTTTTTTTTTTATGAAATTATCGGCCGATTGGTGATTTCCCAAAATTAAGGAAATCGGGGCCAACTTACCAGTGTAACCCTAGATTAAAGCATAGTCTTGTGTTGGAATGTCCTAATCAAAGGCCAATCTAAATCTAATTGGGAATGTCTGGAAAGACTTGACATGTAATCTGCTTCCAATGAGACTGATCTGCAAACAAACAGTCAAAAATGTAAGAGTCTGGACTCTGCATATGGGCTGATGTGAGCAAATACTTTATGTTATAGAAACTTCTGCCAGATTTGATTTATTAAAGTATTTCCCTGGGCAGGTGGGAGGGGCTAAAATATTGTAAAATGCTCACCTTTTAGATTTTTGTAGATCTTGAAAATGACATGGGGAAATACACATTTTCCTTCAACATTTAGTGCACAATTATGCACTAAATGTGCATAATTTAGTAGTATCATATTAATACTCCTAATATAATATTCCAATGTAAAAAACAACAAAACCATATAAATTTTATACTACGCTGTTAATCACGTTTATGATTGTAAAGTTACAAAATGTGAAAAATGTTCCTGGATTGTGAAGACTTTTACCAGGGATTGCATCTCCAGCACTACAGCAGGATTTATTTTAAGAGAATAAAATAATACAAAGTGAAACAGAACAATGTTGTTTAATGCTGCTTTGAATCAGTTCTGCTTCACAAAAGGTCTTGTAGGCTGACAGTAAAACTTCTGGTGAGTCTGTTTGTAGAAATAAGAAGGACCATCACTGTTAAATGACAAGAGGTGGATGATGAGAGGAGTGACGGAGAGAAGAGGTCCTTGTGGGCGGGGCCACTGCCTCCAGCTTTGTGGGTCAGAGGAAGAAGTGGGCAGCTCATAAACATTTGACGTGGAGAGACGTTTCTTTCTTTTGACTTATTAAACGAGTGAGTTAGACAGAGAAGGAAGGATCTGTGTACAATCATAAAGTATGTTTTCCACTAAATAAATGTAGCAGGGGAGTAAGGGTGCGTCTCTTCAGGAATCCCCATAAAATGATTTAGAGTCACCTGAGCCTGTTTAGCTTTGAAGTCAGGCAGCTGCCTATGCTGTATTACATTGATGTTATATCATTTATAATCCTATAATTGATCATTTGGTTTCTTGGCACTCAGCACGGAGTCAGCACCAGTTCATAAATCAGGAGACGAAAAGTAGGCGCAGCAAGCAGAATCAAAGCAAAACAAAGAAGGTTTTGGAAACAAACTCGTCGACACGCTGTGAAACAGACCGTCACCTGTTTGTGTGCGTCTGTTTTTTTTTTTGTTTTTCTTTTATTTTAATAGCGCTCGGATTGAAAAGACGCAGGCCTCCCGGAAGCCTGCCCAGCCGTAGTTTTAAACACGATAAGCAGGGTTTTCATTTCTGTTGCCTGTAAACTTTAACAAGCTCATAAAACGCACACAAAAACAGGGAGTCTCTAACCACGGTCCCAAAACTGGGGAAAAAAAAAAAAAAAAGAAAGAAAGTCAATAATAACCGAGAAAAAAATCATAGGATCACATTAATGAGAGGAAAATAAAACAGCTCAACGGTGTCCACAAAACAAAACGAAACAAAAACGTTTTGCTCAGATCAGATTGGATATACAGCTGCAGGCTGATATATGGATGTGAACCCACGGCCTTTCCAAACGCTCTAATTACAGTGTTGGGACTGGCTGCCAGCTGAGAAGCAACGCATGGAAAAATGGCCCAGGACGAGTCGTTGAGCCGTAAATCAGACCACGTCTTCTGCGTGTGCGATTTCTTTTTTTTGTTGTTGTTGCTGATTTGTCTGTTACTGCAGCTTGTCGTGTGATTTGGAGCAATCGAAAGAAAGCAGGTTCAATATAGACTTAAACAACCGGGAGAGAAAAGGTGTGACAGCGCCAGAGCTAGCTTACCTTCCATAGTTGTAGGCACATGACCATTCCCAGCTTCGTGTCTGGTGTCAGCGTGCAGACCGGGTTCTTACTGGGCATCTCGATGATCTTGATCTGTGGAGAACAGATTCAACATTTCAGGTGGGATTCATGCCTGTGTACTAAAGCTGTAAGCCTCATTTCATTTTGGAACTTCCTACATTTTTTTAAAGGATTGGTATTATGTAAGATAGACTTTTTTTTTTTTTTTTTTAGCTTTATCTTACAATGTTATTCCCTCATCAGAAACATACTTGGAGTTTTGCTTTGATTCTTTCATGCAGGTTTGAGAAATCCTTGAATCTCCCATGACAACCATTCCAGGGTGCTTAAACGCTCTCTCACAAAGCGATATTTATTTCCACAAAGCTCCATCTCGGAGGTGCAGTCTGCAGCTGAGCTCCTCCAGACTAGCGGCAGCAGCAATTCGCAAACACCTGGTGGAACTGCTGAGGTTACCATGCAAACCACTTCTCACTTCAACGCTCCTCACAACGGTTGTAAATGGGATAATGGAGGAGGACTGTTGTGAAAGAGTAGGAGCCTCTTAAAGAGACAGATGGTTGTGCTATATAATGACGCTTTGTGCCTGGAAAATACACAACACCCTTCCTTTAAATACTTCAGTCTAAACCAGGGGTCCCCAAACTTTTTCCTGTGAGGGCCACATAACTTTTTCCTTCTCTGGTGGGGGGCCGGAGTTAGTTTGTAACAGAAAAGGTGTGACGATTGCAGGAGTGCCTAAATGTAAAAAAGTATTGTTTTCCAGAAAGCACAATCAAATAACCCTCTCTGGGTTCTTCACAGAACAAAAGTCAGGAAATAAATAATAATACTATTAATGAAATAAATAATAACCAAATAACCCTCTCCGGGTTTGTGGTTTGAAGTTGTGTTCAGCAACCCAGAGTCAACAAC